AGGTTCGCCGTTCATGCGAAAAGCTGCGTTCATTGCGTGCTCATGGCAGCGAGCGCCAACTTTCTTCCACCGATTTGCTTCCATTAACATTTTTCACCAGGGTCGACGGACATCTCCCCGAAACGGTTGCTCTGGATATGATCCCAGCGTTTTTCTCTCCTTTACAACAACTCAATCAATCATTGTAGATCTCTGTCAGCGGTGGTGCATCTCGATTCTCATTCAATCAGAAACTTTGGATTAAGTAACCGACACTCAGAGGGCTACACTTACGTTCCCTTCTCTATCATCATATTAATAAACTCAGACGCGGGGAGTCAGATTGTTCACAAATTTCATGGCTCTCTCTTTCGCTCAAGCAGAACTCATCGGCTTGATCCTTCACTCATGTCTCTTCGGTAAGGTAATCGTTATTGCAGTAGGAAGAGTTGATTCTCATGGACGCAGGGCTGTACTTGTTCTTGTTCTTTTCAAGTCTTCCGTTCGACATAGATATCGAATTCAATATCAGGCCCAAGGCTTATAACACAGGTATCTTGCACTTGTTGGATCAAGCCAACGGAAGGCGGAAGGCTGACACTCGAACCTAGTCCTTTTGATTTCGAACGCTCTTTTGTTCATGCTGATATCGGCAGTACGTTCTCATATTGCATTTCCTTCAGATCAACGACTGAACGGCTTTACATGATTCAGCATTGGGTTGTGCAGATCATTCGTAGTCAGAGAGCGTTCATTTATTCAGACGGAGAAGCGGGAGATGCTGCCTCCGCGTACTACGCTTTTCCTGCTGATTATATGAACCTGCTGAAAGAGTCGCTGTACTTGGCGCAGACTTTCATTGGGGACTGTACAATGGTAAAGCATTGAACTCGTGCAATTCCTTCCTCGTGACATTCTTCGTGCAGATCTATCGCCTTTGGATTGTGTACAATAAAAAGGCATATGTCACTGTGGTTCCTGCACTCATGATGGCAGTATACGCCAGTGAGCTCCCTTCCAATTCTACCAGCAAAGGCTGAATTAGCTTATCGTTCTTTCATCAGCAAGTGCTATAGCTGTTGTGATTGCTCTTGGAAAAACGACGGTGGGCGAGAACATATTTATATCTACGGCTGGTGTATGGGCAATCATGGTTTTTTCAACAACTGTGGCGTAAGTCCCTACCTCTTGTTCAAAAGTCCGATTTTGAGTTGATGGTGCGATATAGAACCAACGTCCTGACTACATGTACGTTGGTCAGTATTGTGGTATGGGTATAGGACTGTAACTGACAGGGCCGCGACGTAGCCCTCATTACTGCTCGTATCTGGAGTATCAAACGAAAAGTTCGGGGAGTGGCTCTGCAGAGCGGTGGCCTGGCTGTAAGGTTTAGATGTTCTCGTCTCCGAAAAGGCCGCTCATCCGGACCCCTCATCTAGTCTGTCTTGCATATTATAATCGAGAGCGCTGCGCTTTATACGTGAGTTGAAGAAATCTTCATCTCGATTTTGCGTTGACGTTGGTATTGATTTCTGTAGAACTACTGCATTACTCACCTTGATTGGGTACTCTACGGAACAAGCTTGGCAATTTATCACTATAGACATGGTAAGAGCGCTGACACCTATACTGTTACACCTCGAGTCATCATTTTGGATATCTACTGCATATAGATTAGTCCTATCATTGTAAGCACCTTTCCCCAAAACTCACAACATATTCGATCAATCTCGTTACAGGGGATATCATTTACGCTGATATCTGTACGCGTGAGTCGCAGTACACCTAGTCAAGGTATATACAGCACACATGACACTCCGAGCTCGAATGTTGTTCGTATTCGTGGCGTTGAAAGTCGTCGGGAAGCCATTGGACTTGATACTATCTCCGTCAACGTCACCCAGCACGTATCGAAGCACACAGACCTCGAAGATGGCCTCAACGGTAGCGGTGTTGGTGACGAATCGCTATCTGACTCCGACCAAAAACGGCACTTCTAATTCCGCGACGGAAGTAGGCCTATGACTTGGACGGGGAACGTTATCATAAACCTTACTACAAGTGAATTGAATGTATTGGGTGATTTAGAGCCTAGATAAATACTGTGGGGCCACTGCAGCTGATCAATGCTAACTTATACCGAAGCAAACTCTCGAGTCAAGTCTCCATCATTCTGTGTATCAGTACCTGCAGTGGTAGTTTGATCCTCGACTCCAGAAAGTGCGAATCCGACCGACGCAGCATGGAATGTGCTGAGGTGATTGTCCGTGTTCATTTGGACTTTTTGACCGATTTCTGATGAGCCTTTTTGAGTAGCGAAAGCGTACATCGTGTCTTTGCGCCATGCTCGGCCGTCGACAAGCCTATAGATGATCATATAGCTCGTAATTTGCTAATAGTAACGATAGTTCATATCGCATTCTCAGAACAACCATGACACGTACCTGAGCCGCACATGAGATAAACAATAGCACTTGGTTTGCGGGATTGCTGACGGCGTATGTGATAAGGAACAAAAAAGCACATATGGAATAGGTGGCAGCGGATTCCACGATGATGGTGAGGAGCGAAACATATCCTTTCGCGTGCTCAGCAGGTAAAGAATCAAGAATCTGCTTCCGATATACCAGTAGACGACCAGTAATGAGAAAGGTCAGAATAATGTTTACCCCGAGAGAAATAGAATAATAGGAGGTCCCAAAGGCAAGAGGGAGTTTTGAGTAAAAAGACAAGCCAGGTTGACTTGATTCCAGAGTCCATAACGTCCCCATGACTTAGAAAATGAAGATGATTGACATTGCGATTACTATACGGCCCAATTGAAACTCACTGAATGAGGCCAAAAGAGTAAGTGCAGGGAATGCGGTGATCACATAGGCAATCAGCTTCCCTGAGGACGTCCAGATAACCCAGCATCGCCATAGCTAGAGGAATCAAGAGTGTAAGCACATATGTAATCTATATTTTGACGACTCTTTTACCATGAGGCCATCTGAAAGGAATGTCAGGGTGAAGAGTGAGGCGTCGAATATGGTGTTTACTGCCCAATTCTGAGTTGCGAGGAAGAATGGCCATGGCCCCCCTAGTAGCAGAACCTTTGTTAGATTGTGGGGGAGATCTGCGCCGACGAAGTAAAGAGTCACCCGGGTAGTTTCTGTTGTCGACATACATGAGCTGGACTGTGCGGGCCTGAACAATCAGAAAGATTGTGGAAACCGAAAGCAACAGAGTGATGTACGCAAGGAGGAAGAGAGCTTTGCGACTCTGCTTTCTCCGATTCCAGAGGTACATAGCGCAAGAGTAGTATAGTACTAATTGAATTCCTGCAATCTGTTCAGTAATATTCGATTATTATACTAGAAAGATAAGTCACCATAGCCTACACCACAGGCAACATCACCAGCAAGAAAGAATCGCTCCAGTTGAATAGTCGACTGGGACTCATTCGGGCCATAGTAGGTACTCATGTCCAGAAGCGCTTTTGCTGAAACAGTTGAGTCTACGTTGTAACTTTTATACAGCTCGCGTCAGGGCTCAGAATCATGCAGCAGGACTCGGAGTACATAAATTACGTTGGATGATGTTATTCTGCGTAGAATGTTGTAGGATATGCAACCATCTACAACCCTACGAGAAGTTGGAATCCAAATCCCCTTGCAAAAAGATTGAAAATCAAACATCAAACTGTGAACTGAGGAGTGAACGATGATGTCTGAAGTATTCCTCCTTTCTGAGGACAAATTTCTCAAACTCGTGTATTCACACAGATAACATGGACAGCCAATACATCAAATTTTGTTGTGAACTTTTAGAGTTGCTGTCGAACACAGCGGTCAGTTGTCTTGTATATGTTGAATTGTATCATCGAAGACTCGCCAGTCTCAATGAGTGAGTCACTGGGTAAGATGATCATTTCTGCAATTCGCCAACCTGCCCGGGAATATTTGACTGGACAATTGGACTTCGCGTCTGCGATGTGACATCAGTACTCAATACCAACTCATTTATTTGAGGCTCAGGTAGTCATGAAAGTCTTCTAGGAAGGCTCGAAGCAAGATATGTCACCGGCCCGGGCGCATCCACCAGGATTTCATCTGAAATTCTGAATCATCATGATATCGCGATACATCTTGCATTTTATATTCAAAGTTTAGTGTGCCCGTGCATTTCCTGTGAGATGTGAGTGCGATTCATCATGATCATCGTATATGTCATATCATTCTGTCGCAAGTCAAGATGGCAATGCGCTGTGAAGGTATTCAGTCAGGCAGTAGGATGCCAACCATGAGCCGCGGAGCCTTGGGGAAAGCACAAGTCACCACTTTCTGTTCGGACAGTTCAATTTTGACTTTGATCTCTCCTGAATCGGATTTTGCTATAACGTGATAACTGGCAAGTGACTTGACATTTTCGAAATGCTTTCAGCTCGTTGTATTCCCTCAGACGACTTAAAAGTGGGACATGGCTGTTCAATTATATACAAAAGATGATACATCTATCCGCTCAAATCAATCAGCGTTGTGAAGGTGAGGTGTTCTATTCACGCACCTGCATAGTATCTAAATTCTACCTACCTTCTAGCCTGACTTACCTACCCTTCGTGGGTCAGGTGGGTAGGCTGGCCCCTGGGAGACGCGACTAAACCGTTTTCTCTAATCGGGTGAAGCTTTTTCAGGTTGACTCGGTGTGAGTGAGCAGATCTGTTTCAAGAGAGAGAGGAACATAGGGCCCGGGCACACATAAAGGTGGTCATAAAAGTGCGACTCTGTCTTTTTTGATGTTGTTTGCATCATCGCAATGTAGCTGTAACATTCCTTCCAAGCAACAACAATATCACATCGCTTATAACAGCATGTGGCTATAATGTGTTATTTTGGCTCATTCAGTGGTGTAACTAGCTGGTGTTGTTTCATCCCAGCACGTAAAACTGATGTGGCATATACATAAACAAACCAATGTGTACATAAGATACCGCCATCTATTCCACATATACATTATCAACTTTGAACCCTTGGCAGTGTGTTCGCGTAACTCAGTGGATTAGAGTGTGAGATTGCAACTTTCACAAAGGGCCTCTATCTCTTTAGGAATAAATCTTGAAGTCGCGTGTTCGAATCACGCCGCGGACTTCATATTGCGATTGTGTTTTTACTTTTACTTTCTTCATATCTTTTAGAAATTGTTTATTTTCTTTGACACTAAACAGCTGAGCGAAAGACGACGCCAGTATTCACAAGGGCTATATGTCCTATTATTTCCTCGATTAACTGACGACACGACACACACATGAGAGCGTTAAAGTCAAAAAAACTTTTTAGAATCTCTGAAAGACTTATCTCAAATCGCGTTACCAAAAGAAACCAAATCAAATCAAATCGAAACCTGTTGTTGAAAACACGCGGAGTATAACGCATACACACATACACACGTACAATCATTTCCTTCGTCTCTTTCATCTTAACTTCTAACTTCTGAGTTCGAACAAGACACATCCTGCTATAACCGCACGAGGGTACGATTACCTGGGGTACGACAGGGACTGTATGAGTGAAAAAAAACGGAAAGTGGTAGGTTAGAACTTGACTTACACGGCAATGAGGGTCTTAAGTTGTCCGTTCTTGAAAGCGGCTTGGGTGGCGTCGTTGCCTGGAGAGAGAGGGAGAGAGAGAGAGAGATACAGATAAAGAGAGAGAGAGAGATGAGAAGACGAAGGAACATACCACCAATATGTTGTTGATCTAACACGAATCAATCAGAGCCTCTGTTAGTCGAATGACTTAGTTGAGAGATGACGTGAACACGCACTAACGAAGATATTCGGAACGGTCCGTTGACCGGTCTTCTGTGCAAGGTATGCTTGAATCTCAGAGCCTTCTTCCATTTCGTCTAATCTGTCCCAGGTAGAATCAAGATTGAGCTAGTATTGAGGAAGAATAGTCAAAAAAACACACTCGAGGATCTTGGTCGGCACATCCGGAAACTCTCGTTCGAAAAGCGTCTTGGAGGCTTTGCAGTAAGGGCACCAGCTCTTGGAGAATATTGTCACAGTGTTCTCGTCAATGGAGGACTGAGGGTTGTGTGCGCAGATGATGAGGTAAATGAATAGTGAACCCGGGTCGATACGAGCGTACCTCAACAAGATCCTTGATAGCCATTATTCGGAGCTGATTGAGGGAGGGTTTAGATGACGAGGGTTGGGAAAGATCTAGGTATGATATGTTGGATAATGGGAGGGTGGAGATAAGGTTGTGAGGATGACTGAGCTTTTTGAAGGGTTTGCCCGAAGACTCGATGGTGTCATTGATAGAGAGAGATTCACGTGGGGATTGGTAATACTCATGATCCTATTGAGGATCGGGATTCCGATACGTCCAGGCTCCCGTATACAATGTTGGTGATTTCTGAGTACAGCGTCCAATTTTCACCTTACGCGATCTCAAAAGTTTTAACAAAATGATTCAACCCGGGATCGAACCGGAGACCTTCTGTGCAAACATTGGAATGTAAGACAGATGCGATAACCACTACGCCATTGAACCGTTATACGAAGAATTTAAGTTAATTCTATGATAATGTAGTAGAATTTGCTTACAGTCAACTTTGTTCAGAAACGAAAATAATCATGTGGGCTGATCAGAAAGAAAAGGGGAAAGAGTTTGAAGTCTGGCATAAACCTGGCCATACCTTGTGTGTCCTCTCTCACCTGGGACCCACGGACATGATTTGTGGAATGGAGGGCAATCAATCTGCACAAGTGACGGGGCAATAACTTGTATTTATAGGTACTTAGTTCGGACAAGCGTACAATGAATCTAATCTGATCCGCGAGTCCATTCTCTCTTTCAAACGCGTTCTGCTAGCCGACGAACCATTCCCCAAACGTTGCATGTCAACCATGTCAATCAACAACTCGCTGGTTTCTTTCTCCCCCACCGGCATTCTCCTTCCCCATAAACGAAAACAAGAATTCCGACGAAGCCAAGGGTACGAAAGAACCAACCGAAAGTTTCGAGCCAGAACCACCAAAGATCAAAGAAGGAGCTGTGTGATACCTTTGCATCCCCCTTCTCTTCCTCTTTTTTGAATCGGAGTGCGAGTTCATAGTCAAAGACAGGAGAGGGCTACGGCTAGTATCAGATGACGATATCACCAAAGGAGCACCAGTACATTTGGTGTTCTCAGAATGAGCGATTCGCGTGAGTGCACCATCGTCTTCGATGCGGAGTCGTTTGGACGGAGGAGGTCCGGGCATTTCCATTTCGGATTCGGAATCAGGTATAGAAGTGCAATAAGAAGAGGAAGGAATGAAAGTAGAGGTAGACGAGACGGATTGTTTTTGTTTCTCCAAATCATCTTTGTGGTCGGGAAATTGAGAGCTCAGAGCTATTTCTGAATGCCATGACTTTGCTCGAGTCCGATTTTCGTTCGTTCGTTTTCGCTTGAGCGTCGAGTTAGAAGAGATGGAGACAATAGTGACAGTCGTCGTCGTCGTCTCTTCGGTATCTGTATCGGTGCCCATGGGCGCCAGAGGCGCTTCCATATCTAACGATATTGGTATGCCGGTCGAACTTCCAAGAGTCTCCACAATCCTCGTCTCAGTCCCTTCTTCATGCTCATTGACGATATCTCGGTTTTGAACATGGCGAACACACTCTTCACTCACTTCCATTGAAGAGGTTGGCGACAACGATGAATGTCTCCTCAAAGGCGAAGGTTCGACATCGGTGGACGCGGAAGAGTCAGGAGAGTCAATAGACTCGTCAGCCAAAGAAGAGTCTGTCAAGAGATGACCTGCTTGAACATTCTCGCGTCTTGAATCAACACCCTCACTACCATCTTCGCTTCCCTTATCACACAAAAGTCGCGAAATCCACGATGTGTGCGAATTCTGAAACTTTTGGTTCACTCCACGCGGGTTTCGAGATACGGGTAATTGCCGTGCAATGTCGTGTTCACGCCAGACAACGGAGGAAGTTGGTCCTGGGCAGGATTGCGGAATAGGCGTAGAAGCATCTGTAGGTTGAGGCTGAGGACGAGGAACATCTTCCGGAATGGCATCCGAATGTGTAGGTAAAGATGGCGAAGCCAACGTATCAGAAGAGCTGGAAGATGCGGTGGAGGCATACGAGGACTGTGACGAGAGGACGAAAACCTCATTGCTCCCTCCGTTCCCATCCGCTTCGGCATCGGTCACCTGAGATGATGATCCCCGCCTCTCAATCCCCGCCTCCTCATCCTCATTCACACCAACAACATCATACGACTTGGGTAATATCTCGTCCATAGCGTCTCGGATCAGCTGGGATGGGACCGATATGAGGCTAGACTGAGACCCAGCATGATATATAGCAGCGTCGTCCTCGAGGATCTCAGTATCGGTGTGCTCGAAGCCGTTCGCCAAGTTTGGGCCATCGACGTCTGGTTCTGTGTCGGTGTCACTGCCGTCACCATCATCTTCGTTAGGGCCTTCGTGGACACCACTATGGCTGTTACTTTCGTCGACATCGATATCGGTGTAGCAATGAACAGTTTGGGAGCTAGAGAACGCCATGGAATCACAAGTTGGCAAAGTTTGAGTGTGAGGGAAGCTTGTCTCGGGTGGCTCCGTCTCGTGAGTGTCAGGATCGTCTCGGACTTTGATGGTGTGCGTGCTAGTGGCCGAAGACGAGGAGCGGTCAGCTTGCGCACTACCGTACACAGATTAGTAAAGCGAGAAATAGAAAGGTAAAAGTCCTTACCTTGACGACTGTGACGAATTTCGCTGAGCAGCGTCAAGGCGGTCGACTGCAACCTGATCGTCTTCGTCTTGGACCTTCACCTCGTTATCAGCCTGGCCAGGTCGATCGTCCTCCGAACTGAACAAAGAGAATTCGCTTTGGGGAGAACTGACCGGATAGAGAGTCAATGTCGTGGACCTATTCAAGCGAGGTGATGAACAGAAAAAAAAGGTCGAAAACTAACCTTTCTCCAACGGTAGGAAGATTCAATTCGTCTCCTTCGGCCCTAGAACGAGACGTAAATGACTGGGCCATCGTTCGGTCGTTAGTGAAGTGATTAATCGTAGACAATAATTAATTGGTGCGATTGAGATTTCGTGATTGGAAAAATTACGGTGTCGCCAGCGACGAAGAAGTGGATCCAAGACTGTAAGATAGAAAGGAGCGGGTAAGAAAAGCGTAAAGGAAAAAAATCGGAAATGGTACTGACCAGGCCATCTGTCGTTCATCTTTATACAAACCCTGCTTCGCCTAGTGGTCATTCGAGGACAAGGGACAAAGAGCTCTTTGATGTCAGGTGTTGAATTTTTGGATAAAGACCAAGGAGAAAGCAGCTGGAGAGTATAGCAAGCCAACAAAGCAGGATCTAGCGACATGTCTGATTATGCATTATATGTACAACGTCTGTACACGATGCGACAACGTAGCAGGGAGAAAGGAACGAGCAGATGCGTAGAGCGCGTGAGAAAGGTAGAATTACACGACTAATAGAGGCTGTATCAGAGGTACAGAAGAGGAGAAGCGCATTGCCCTTCAAGAGAGATGTGGCTCAACGGCTGAATGGAAGTACTGGTCAACGTTGAAGCGTTATGTAATGGTGTAGTGTAAAACCACCTAGCGCCCTCAACTTACCCCTTAACTTTCACAATGCTTACTATTAGCGTTGGTCATTGACCGTCGAACGAACGTCTAATGCTTAACGTTAAACTCGCTTTCGAGACAGTGGCTGGGGCTATTTCTGTACTATGCGGTAAAGAGTCAAACGATATTGCCATATCTCTTCATCCGCTCAACATCCACAACGCGTATCGTATCGTTCTCGTCGCTTCCAGATATACCGGTGATTGACCAGTGAACTGTTGCTCAGCCGGACGATACGCACAATGCAAGCCTTCCTAAATTCTGGCATGATGGTACCAATCCCTCGAGTAGTACTTGGTACTAAGTATATTGTACACTGAAAACCTATGCTTACGGTATGTATTGTCCATGGACTATTCAGCACACTGGAAACTTTCACAAGTTCATGGAGAAGTTCCGAGCTGATAATCTTCTTGCCAACAGGAGAAAGTCGGAGGATGCTTTCAAAGCGCAAGTGGATGAGGAAATGATTGTGCCCGGAGTCGGAAATTTGACTCCGAACCCGAAGTCGTTAAATATTCGAGACCAAGGATATAAATTGAGCTACAACAGTGAGTCTCTAGCTCAATCATCCTTACAAGCCTCGAATTGCTTGCTTTGCCTAATCACGATGTCTACATATGAAGCGGTACTATCGAAAACTTTACCTAAACTGTCCATCCCAAAAAGACGTAACTTGAATCGAGGGAAAGCGTGTAGGAACTGTAGGTCAGTATAACTTATCCGACTATTGTGACTTTATGCTGATTACAATATCATACTCCATTCATCGCAGAATTCGCAAAAACGTTGGTATATCTGTTTCTAGATTTCTTATCTGTAATACTAGCTAGACCTCTTTTTCTGAAAATATAGAAATGCGATGGACAATCTCCTTCGTGCTCTCAATGTCTCCGACGATCCAGAGGTGGCGCCGTGGTAGAGTGCGTCTACGAGAAAGTCTCACAAACGCGTAAACAGACCTTGCAAGAAACAATACAGAAACTGGAAGCTCGACTTCATCAGCTCGCTGGCTCGGTGGCCGAAGAAGATTCTGTTATCACTCAACAGTCGCCAACCTGTCATTCAAATTCGCCTACGATAACCTCTGATATAGGTATGGCCGAAAATCCTGAGTCATTTGGTGCGCTGAAATTATATTGATTTGAGTTTGTAAGAAAAACAAACAGGCTCATATTATGAGGATTCCTCCTTCAAGATTGAATCGCTAATCACGTCGTGTGGGAGCTGTACTTCTCCCTTTGTGAACTCAAGTGGGGAAGTCAGCTCTTTTAGAGATACTGTCTACGAGGTAAAATGTCATGATCTTTTCGAAAATCTGTGATTAGTCAAGCTCACGAACGCTTCCGATAGGAGCTGACGAGTGATCCAGAGATGAAATTGTGCGTTGACTATATTGAACTCTAAAGGGATATCTCATCGCGTGCTATTTCTAGAATACAATCATTTCTGCCTCACGCCCAATCTTTCGGCTTCTTCCTCGACATCCCTCGATTCTGCCAGTCTGCTGCGCTCGCTCTTCCTCTAGGACACCATGACCGACCATTCCCCGGATTACTCAGTACATTATATCTGCTAGGTTCCTTTTTATCACAACCGTCACCGGATCTAGACACAGCTCTTTGTCGTGCCCTCCTTCATGTTGCCAATGCATTATCTTCTCCTCATCCGATGCATATCTTACATGGTATACAAGCAGAAATTTTGTTGGCTGTTTACTTTTTCCATACCGGCCGTCTCATGGAAGGAAAATATCATATCAACTCGGCCGTTTCTTTGACTCTGTCCTCGGGATATCATAAGCTCGGGTCAGGAATTTCGACGCAGCCAGAAATGAGCTCACCATCCGAGTCGGTACCGGTGGTGCGTAGAGATGATACGATCCTTGAAGAAGAGAAAGT